TTTCCAACAGAGCACTTAAAGCCCAGGTGAATCAGTCAGGAGATAAATATAATTTTTCAAGGGGAAAAAAAAAAGAAACACTTCAGACCAAATTACAGTGATGTGTAATTTCTATGTTCCTTGGTCATAGAAACATCTTAACAATTCAAACCCATATTTTACTTCTTTTTGTATCTGCCCAGCCCAACACATGGATTTTTCCAACCAAGAGATTAAGCTCTTAAAGAACAGAATTTCCATGGCAGCTTTTGTTTGAAAAACTGGACTATTTAGTAAAACTTCAGACTCCAGCAAATGGCTGTGATTCACACTGTTGAGGGCCTCCAGAGCTAAAACTTCTCATGGGTTTGGTGAAGAGAGAAACTGAGACCCCAAACTCTCTTTCAGAGGGGGGCTGTGTGCTGTGGGCACAACACAGGTCCCATCTGCTCTGACATATCCAGTAACACATTGATTAGGCTGTGTATAGGAAAAAAAATGAGGTTGAAGATGTAAACCCACATGTGAGCAGGAAGACAGAATTTCAGATGTTCTGAGAACTGTGAATATGCTCCTACTATGACTCGGAGCAGTTTCTGAGAAGAGTGAAAAAATTTCCACACTTCACAAGTAGTACTGCCCTTTGTTCACTAGCTGATGGAAATTTTTGAAGAATCAGAGTATGCAAACAGCACGACTTTAATCATGAACATAAACATTAAAAAAGAATCATAATCCAGGAGCTAATTAAATACTGGTGACTTGGTCTGCCTGTGAAGCTATTTCATTTGGAATATAAGGACTATTTTGAAACGAGATTTTACTACTAAAAATATTACTCAGGTGTTATAAAATAACCTGCTCACTTTTATTAGCTGCAAGCACTGATATAACGTTACAAAGCTACATTTTTGGCCTTAGATCATTCCAGATATTTTCTCAGCCTTCTCAAAAACTTCTCCATGCCTGATCTATTACCCCCCCTGTAAGGAAGCTGACTCTACTGTCTGCCCCTTGCACAATGCCACTGTCTCATGCAAGCTCAGGATTTTCAATTTGTGTCAGATTATTAAAACAGCAGGATAACATCAATTTATGTCCTATTTTCTGACGGCTTCTTTTAAGCAAAACAAAAGCTGTATCTTCCAGTGTCCTCTCACTAACAGAAATGAGTGCTCTGTGCTGCATTTATCAGCAGTAGTCAGACAAAGGCTGAGGGTTCCTAAAAATTCAGTACTACATGGGCTAGGTGCTTACAATGTTGGCTGAGGACTCTGCATTTCTCAAGAGGATGCCAGTATTTGCTAAAATTTGAGAGATTTAAGTCTAGGATGCATGACTACCAAAATGCATTATCATGACCGTAGGACGTGTCATATATACATATTTATAAAAAGTATTCTCTATGAAAAAAAAGGTTATGTGAGTTCCAGTTAAACTTCCTACAACCTAACATTTCTGTGGTGACACATCCCACTCATGAAGTGGCTACAGATTAGTAGTAAATGAAGTCTATAAAGTGATTTGAGATCCTCTGGCAGGAAAATAACCATATAAATGTAGATCATCCAGAAGTACTCACTGGTGCTGCAAAAAAAAATGAGGACTGTGCTCTATTACATGCAGTGACTGCAAAATAAAATTTTATCGTGTTTATTAAAATGATAAAATACATATCTATAAAAACTGTGTAATCCAAACACAAACAGGACATTTCAAAAGTACATACCCACATCACGCTGTGGTAGGATACCAGTTAGGCAAACCCAGCTTGATATCTTTTAAAGTGTAAAAACCATATTAGAAATAAAATTGCACGGAAGAAACACTGCTGTAAGATACAGAAGGGAGATGACAGCGCATAAAACAAGAGGCCAAATCAGGCAGTCGCTGAGTTTTTTTGTATGTACGGCCAGAGCCGGCCATGCAGCCACGTGAAGTGATATGAAACGTCTGAGATAAACACCCACCACCACCCCCGAGGTGCCCCACTTGGGGTGAGTGGCAGTCTGCCCCCAGCATCCCCAACACCCACGGGTCATGTGTCCCCAACACCCCGTGGACGATGTGTCCCCACCACCTCGCACGTGATGTGCCCCACAATCCCGTGGGTGAAGTGTCCCCAGCACTCCACGCCTTATGTGTCCCCACCTCCCCCCGAGCCCGGTGACCGGCGCTGCTCCCGGCAGTCCCTGACACAGCGGCGCCACCAGCCCCAGTCCCCGGCAGTGCCGAGGAGGGACGAGGGGCAGGCTCCGAGGGGCAGGCTCCGAGGCGGAGCCCACCCCCCGCTCGGCGGCAGGGCCCCGGCGGGCGCCCTGAGTCACGGTTTCGCGCTGCAGGCGGGGCCTGGAAAGTCCCGGCCGCGTTCCCCGCGCCGTGCCGGGCGCTGCTCTCGGGGCCGCGTCCGCACCCACCTTGAGCCCGAGCAGGCGGGACTGGCGCTGCTTCTCGGCGGGGCCGAGCGCCCGCAGGCGCTGCCGCAGCTCCCCCCGCAGCGCCCTCTTGGCCGCCCGCAGCGCCGCCGCCATCGCGTCCCCCGCCGCCTCCTGCATGCGCCGAGTGCGCCGGGCGGGCCCCGCGGCCGCTGCTCGGGTCCGGGCAGGGCAACGGCCCCGCGGCCCCGGCCCCGCCGTGCTGGAGGGCCCTGCCAACAGCAGCCTTTTTTCTTTCTCTCTCTTTTTTTTTTTTTTTTTTTTTTTTTTTTTTAAGCCTGGCGCGGATCGCGAAGGATTTCCCCTTCACTGATTTTGTTGCAGGAAGGGGAATTACGTTTCGGCGGGATATTTTACCACCGTCTGCCAGGCAGTTTCATATCCCTACGGCATCTGCCCGGCGGGCTCCGAGGGAGGGGTGCGGAGGAGGGAGAGCCCTGTACCCCCAGGGGCGGTGTGCCAGCCGTGCAGCTGTGTCCAAAGGGAAGCACTGTAGGCCAGCGTTTGGCACATGGAGTGTTCCAACCCACCTTTAACCGCCCAGGGTGGCGGAGTCACCGTCTCTGGAAGTGTTCAAGAAGCAACATATGTCTAGTTGACAGTGTCTAATATCTCGTGTCTATGATCTTGTGTCTAGTGCCATTGTCTAGTTGACAAGGTGGTGATCGGTCAAAGGCTGGACTCAAAGATCTCAGAGATATTTTCTAACCTAATTGGTTCTGTGATTCTGTGATTTTAGGCGCAGAAAGCTACATTTCCACAGGAGAACATCTCTTTTCATAAATCTCTTCCACGTGGCATTTGATGACATCTCAATTTAGCCACAGTGCAGATGGATGAAGTCATCAGCTGTCCCACTGTGCAGCTCTCTGACCTCACCTTTTGCTCTAGAAGCAGCACTGTGTTCCCCCATGTATTGCCTGACAGCTGTAAGGATCCCTTAAACAGCAGTGCCCTGGGACCTGGGCACTGTTCAGTGTCATGTGTGGATAACTTCGTGACAGTTAACAAAGTATATCTACACGATTTTGTAAGACTTAACCAGTAGCCTTGCTGTTTTCAGGCATATTATTATGTTTAGAGTCAGGGTGGTGCATCTCATCACTGCTTTTCTTGCTCTTAAATGCAGAGCAAAGGAAGGTTTTTTCCTGGTGAAGATAACCTGGAGCCCACTGGACTGCTAATGATCCAGGCTTTTTTATTTAAACCCAGGTCTTGCCATGAAGACAAGTGTAAAATAATTGTATCATCTGGATTTGGAAAAGGCATGGTTGGCCCTTTATATTTAAATAAAGAACTGTACTCCTGAGTATGAAGTAGGTTACTAGATCAGTGTAAAAGGAAGTGGGTGGGGTATTAATAGACTGGTGTTAGCCACTATGATCTGCATTTGCAATAGTGCACAAAAAGAAACTGAGTAAGAATTTCTGTTCTTATCATGAAGGCTTAGACTGAAAATAAATAAATATATGTCATAACATGCTCTGAAATGTCATTTCTGACAGGAACTTCCATAGGTGTTCTGGAGGTGAGCATTTTCCTTTAGCTGCCCCTTGCCCTCAGAATGCTGCCGTCTTTTCTTCAACAGCAACAAACTTTATCTCACAAGTCCCGCTATACATGCTAAATAATCTTTCTTATTTTCAGTGGGGAGGGAGAGAAGGAGCAACAGAGGTTCTAACAAACATTAACATGTGCTTGTATTCTGTGGTTAAACCCACCAGGTTGGACCACAGAGTCACAGAACAGCCTAGACTGGAAGGGACCTTGAAAGATTGTCTGGTCCAACCTTTCCTGGGAAGGGGAGCCTAGATGAAACTGTCTAGGGCTCTGTTCAGTTATATCTTGAAAACTGCCAGTGGTGGGGACGCTACCATGTCCCTGGGGAGGTTGTTCCACTAAATGATTCTTCTTACTGCAAAAAATGCCTTACGTTGAGATGAAAGATGCAAAATTTATTGCTGGAAGAATGAAAGATGGAGAGCCCTTCACCAGAAGGAGGCTGCTTCGTTCTCTCAGTGTCATAAAGCCTGGATTTTCTAGAGGATTTGTGTCAGAGAATAGTGCTGTTGTGTGCCACAGGCAACTGCTGGCTCAGTTTGATTCACCTCCCAACATGTCTACAAAAGAAGGGTGTTTAGACCCAGCCTTAGTACCCTAGTCTAGGACAGTCACTACAGCTGAAATAAACACTTCTAGAATGAGTTCTTGAAGAACTACTGTTTCACCTTTGAAAGCAAGTGGACTTGGAGTCAAAACAGTAACTGCCCCAGTCTGTAAAAGCCAGGAAGTCTCTTACATACTGCTTTGAATTTGTGGAGTTTTGCAACATAAAACACTAATTACTGTCATCAGAGCTGATCCAATTCATTTATTTTGCCATGAGATGTCTGTTTCTTATACAAGCTACCAGAAGGACTGGAGAAAATTAAAGTCTTGACATCCATGAATGTCAGGTCAAACCCACATACTATGGGATTTTCCAGTAGCATTATGATAGCTCTTCTAAGAGTTATTTTACTCAGGTAAAAAATGAGACCAATCCTAAGGCTTTAAAATGCATATTTTAATATATTTTTTAAAAATATTAGTGTATTTACATAATTTTCTCACTTTAAAAATATTTTATAATTGCCTATTTTTAAAAAAGTTCAGCAAGATGATTACATCACACAGATATGAAAGAACATTCACTGTAGCTATGGGCAATTAAAAAATACAGCACAGAAACACATACCATTGCAGTAACAGTAAGTGAGTGCACATTTTTAAGTTGCTAGCTTCCACAAATAGTTCTTCCCGTAGAAATTGCTTAGTCTGTGTCAGTAACTTCTAACCACTTTTATATTGGAATTTGCATTCCTTTTTTCTTCATAAAAATCTCCCCCTTTGGCTTATACAAGGATTGCAATAAAATGCATTACAGTAGTATTTCATTTACAAAACAAATGACATAAAAACTTGTTTCTTAACCCATTGGATTGTATTTCGCTAAAACAATGTCCTTTCATGGAGATTCAAGAGAGATTCCAAGAGCTGTCTGGATGTGGAAAATTATCTCAATCCTGCCTGGAAAGGTAGACTTGAATTGCTGCATGATGTTGTGTGGATTCCTCTTAGGAGGCATCTCATCTTCAGGTTTGGTAATTAGGATAGCATGTTAAACATTGTATTTAGTCAAAATAAATACAAATAAATTAAAAACAAATTATGGAAGGGAATTATTTTCTTGTTGATATGTCTTGGAGGAAGGCTGAGAAGTGAAGGTTGTGGCAATACCTAGATTACACATAAATGGCAGGTCCTTTTACTTCAGTAGTACTCTCTGAGCAAGGAGAAAACAGCTATGAACAGGGCTGTAATTTTGGAGAGAGATAGTAGTGATCTTCTTTCAAACTTTGTTAGGAAGCCATTTTCCTGTGGAAAAGAAAAAGCAGTTAGGGACAGCTTAAAAACATGTAGGAAAACCCCACCACCCTGTGCTAGTGTCAGATTAACAGGGTGCTACAGCATTATGAGTAGAGGGACAGATTTTCAGAGCTCTACCTCCAAAAGATTAATAAGGCTTTAAAAACTATAGCTGAAAATAGCTGCACCTCACTGAAAGTTTGTTTTATCTCTAAGTCAAGACTGTGCCCTCCCTGTGTAAATAGAAAACTGACATGAACTCTATCACCTGAGCCCACATCTTCCAGGGAGATACAAGTACTATGTTTCTGATGTAGTAATATACTTAGAAATATCTTCCTTTAAGCCTCTTTATTCTACTATGATGAGCCACCTATTATGACAGAATGTTGCCAGAAGTTGATACTTCTCTTGAATAAAATTGACTTTATTTGAAAGAGATGGAAAGAGAAGCCTGCACGATAAATCTGGTGCACCAAGGGGCCCTGAGCCACTATCACTTCTTTTTTACAGCTACAGACAGAGAAGGATTAAAACAAGCAGAAAAACAAAAGGAAAAGCAAGACACTAGAAAATAAATCCGGGGGAAAAATTAATAGCAAACAGGAGATAGAAGAGAAGTGGGATGAGAGGAGGTGGAAAGAGAAAGTGACATTTACATATAAGAAAAGGAAAAAAGTACCAAGGAAATAACTGACACTTGTGTCATAGATTCTCAGATTCCCCTAACTGCAAAAGAAAAAAGTACTGGTCTGATGAAACTCTGCAAAAGCAAAAGGGCCCTTCCCTCCACTGGCAGAAGGTAATTTCAGCAGCTGGGCAAAATAATCCACTTATTGACAAGTGTTTTTCTCAGCACTGACCATTGATAAATGGAAGTTCTAGGATTATTTCACTCCAAACAATAAAGATTTAACCCCAATTGTACTTAACTGGACCTTGGTTCTAAGTAAAACTGATTTGGGGGATTAAATAATGGCTTTGTTGAAATCCATAGCAAAAGTACTGACTTGATTTGTGAGGAACACACCTGTTCACTCTTCCCTGTAACTGAACCCCAGTATTTTTGGACCGACTCCTCTATTGCCACACTGACCTTAGGATGCCACTTAATTTTAGATTTAATAATGGAAATTTCATAGTTTCCCTAGTTTAACGTGCTTTGAGCAGAAGGCTGGACCAAATGATTTTCTAAGGTCCCTCTCAGCTTGAATTATGGTATGATCCTATGATGAAAGATCAGAAAGTGCCTTTTAAAGAGCAAGTTTTCTTTTAGCTTTTTTCTTTTTAAAGCAGAAGTGAAGCTCTCACCGTAAGTCTCAATGAGACATTCCAGACATAAAACGGTGAACTACCAAATGAAGCCCCGAATAAAATGTTTCTGACAGTGGCTATAAAAATATTTTCCCTTAATTAAATGCAATCTCCTAATCAAGACTTTGGTGGAAAATGAGAAACTCACCCAGCCACCGTTCGCATCTATCCACTCAGCTTTGTGGTTTATGATGTACTCTGTGATGAAATAGGAGATCTGCTCCTTCTCCTCTGCAGTTAGCTGAACTCCATGCTCCTGAAGCTTCTTGGTGAGAAGACCTCCAAATGTGAATATGGTCATAATTCGTCCCCAGTTAGTATTTCCATCAGCAAACTTTTCTTCCATGACACCATTGAAAATTCTCTTGGCAACAGCTACAGAGGTGATATCAATCCTGTCCAAGAGTGGTCTGAGAGCCTCCTCGGTTTGATCTTGCAGAGAAGATGCAATGCTTCGCAAGACATGAGCAACCCTGGTTTGGGCTGGTCCGAGGTGTGATTCCTGGAGCACATATTGCAGATAATCTTGGGCTAAGTAATAAACGTAATAGAACTCAGCAGTTTCCATTCAATGGGAAATGCAGAGAGCAGTGCACAGCTCTTAATCAGGGTTGGTAATAAGCAGCCACAGGACATGCAGACGACTTTTTATCGTCTGCTTTTGATGGAATCTTTCTGCTTTTACCACAGAATTTCCTGTAAGAGGTATGACTTAATGGTGTGGGTTGGGGAATATGTCACAGAGGAAATGAAAGAAAAAGTGTCTGCTCAAAGGGCATAAAATATGTCTTCTTGAGTGATTTACTGTTTCTCTAAATAGTGTGATTCCACAACTAAAATCTACCAGATTTTACCAGATTCTTTAGTAGTATAAATTGGCATTTCTTAGGGACTTTTGCTATGTACCACTAGCAGAGGTTAGGAGTTTGGCTTTTAAAAAATGCCTAAAAAGTGCATGCTGTTGGACCATGCAGCTCCCTTCCAGCACCCCCATCTTCCCCCACTCCAATGTCCTCTCTGCTAGGGTTAAGGCTGCAATCTGTATTGCAGGTTTGTGGGTTATTTCTGGTCACAACTTTTTGAAGAAACTGGTAGACATTTCCATCAGTATTGAAGAATGGATAAACTTTCTTCATCACTTAAGGTGTTTTACATAACTGCAAAAAGTGGTAGTACAACAGTGGTACAGGGTTGGATGGACAAAGGGGAAAGCTTTATGGCATTATCCTCTATTCCAGACTTTCCCACACTCTCTCTGTGAGTGCTCTTCAAGGTCCTTCTTTGAAGATTTGAATGGGTAGCTTCAAAGATTTCTTTCCCCTATGGGGAGTTCTGCTGTAAAAGACATTATTAGTATAAAAGACAATGCTAATGCAGTCAGCATGTTGGAACATGGGATGGAAAACATAGGGCCAAGCCAGTGATGTGTGAATCCACCTGAGTCCACCTGAATCTTTCAGGACAGGTAAAAAAGAAGTATCATGATATCTACAGTTGTTCTTAGATTCAAATTTTCTGTCAAGCCATTATTTTTGGGAGAAGAGACAGGGGTATCTAGCCAGCTTTTTCATTACAAACCTTTCTGCTGAGGCAGCCTGATCTTGCTAAAGGGTCAGTATGTGTCTGTAGACATTGCAAAGGCTTCAGAGCAGCAAGTAGTTTGAAGTTTGATGTCTGGAGACCCCTGTCTTTTTCCACCCCCTTTTCTTTATCCCTCTACTTCTTCCCCAACTCTCATTCACTCCTCTTCCTTCTCTGAAAGCAAAAGGTACTTCCAGCCCCCCACACAAACAGCTTTACTTTGCCCCAGGAGTGGTTGTGAGCCTGTTTCCAGTACTGGGCACTCCCTAATGCTCAGATCTATGGAAGAGGAGCAAAGCCACATGCCTGGTGGCCAGCACAGGGCTCCAGTCTCAGCTGTCAGGGTATCACTGGCACCAAATTACACTGGGGCAGAGTATGTCCGGACTGTGATACAGCTCTGGTGTCAATACCTTGCTAATCCTAGATAGCCCCACAAAATGCGTGTGCTGCTCCTCTGACATCAGTTTTTGCAGAAACCCATTGGGTAGACCAGAGTAGTTTCCGTTTCCTCATCAGGCTTTTTCTTCTATATGTGGTGAGTCTGGCCGAGAATGACACAGTACAGTCTTCCATGCACAGCGGGGTTTGAAACCTCAAGCTGTCACCAGCACAGAACAGCATCAATCACTTCACTGATGCAGGAAAATAGCTCCCTTACTTTCTGCTGGAAGCAAAGAAAGAGAAGGCTTGGTTCTGTGTTCACTTTTGGAAGGGAGTGGTTTTAGGAGAGCAGTGCGAGCTGGAAAACTCTCATGTTAGATATTGCCTCCAGGGAAGGATGTGATGCCAGGACTGCGAACGGGCTGGGAATGGAAAGCTTGATCTCCACTCTTTCAAGCATGCACGTTCTTACCAAAGCTCATTTTGAAAGTTCAGAGGTGTCCTCTATCCAATACCTGCAGCTGCTGCTTTGGCAGAGCTGTTAGGCTGACTTTGCCTTTGTTATGTTCAGTGATTTCAGCGAACTGCCAACATTTTATGAGGAAAGCAAACAAATAAACAAAAAAAAGATGTGACAGTCCCTAACTCTTCCCAACTGGGCAGGAATTTCTGGGGCACTGCTCTACACAGCCAGTTCCCCTCGTCAGATAGTTGCAAACAGGGCTGAGAGAGGTACTCAAGCAGACGTGACAAGAATCTTCTTTCTATACAGCACAGTTTGTGAAGTTACAGATCACTCCTGACTTTCTTAGTAATTGATTAATGAAAAGCTTTTTGTACTCTTTGAGAATATAAGTAATAATTGAATATGAGAACAGTGAACAATATCTAAGGAGACCAGTTTTGTTTTCTTCACTGTCAACAGTGGCAGCGCACAGGCAGAAGCAGGTATTTCTTCATTAGTGGAGCATTTAGAATTCTGAGGAGGTGATGAAATAAGACTATGAATATGTCACCATTATTGAAAGAAATCAGTGTTGATACCTTGGCAATTTTGGTGCCAATGCTGCTACTTAGAGTCTCTTGATCTCTTCAAGCACTGTGAGGTAAAGCTCAGGGCTCAGCTCCCAGAAGAGGGTGGCAGCTCTAAACAGGCATCTAACAGCCAGCTATGACACTGGTGACCAGAGCTCAGGATGGAGCTGTTGAAAATGCCCCAGGTCTCTCTCCTTCAGTGTTAGACACATTTCCTTTTCAGTAGCATACAGCGGAGGGTGCAGTTCCAAGTGTTGGATGTTCAGTAGCAGTGACAGTTTATATATTTATACACACAAAAAGTCAGACCAGAGTGTGCAGCCCCATATCCCTGAGCAATAATGGTCAACTCTGAACACTCTAAGAAATCAGCTTTGGGATCTCTTGCCTGTATCATGGCCACTCGAATGCTCTGATTCTCATTTTCTACATTAGGCAGTGCCTTCCTTTCTTCTACCAGACTTTACTCATATTTTGTAGACGTGAATACCTCTAATTTAATGAAACTCTACTTTTCTTCCTAACTGCTCTGTCTCCCCAGTGCTGCATAGACTGCATTCTCAGACACTGCACTGCTCCTCTTTGCTGAATATACTTTAAGTGTTAAGTGTTAATAAAAGGCTTGAAATAGAAACCAGGTTGACATGGAAGCTCAAATGCAAACCCTCCCCTCACTACTTGGCAATAGGAAGGGGCTTTAATTTAAATCTGTGCCCTGTGGATTTGACTATACATTCTATCCTAACCTGAAAAAGGCTTATTTTTCCAGAACAGATGGGGACTGAGTTGACAGATCCTCATAAAATTGACTTGTGAGAGACGATGTTATCTCATCGCATTCGAGACAAAACCAAGCCAAATGACAAAAGCTTTGTTGAGCTATTCATGCTGCATCTGCCTTCCCAGAGTTGTTCCAGTTCCAGGTGATTGTGGGAACTGTGATCTTTGTCTGGAGGAACAGTCTGAGGCCCTGAGAAAATTATTGCAGGGGTTTTTTTCTGCTTTTCTTTCCTTTTTGATGTCCAAATGGGGGTGAATTTTTTTTTTGTGCAGTATTGGATTTTATTGCAGAAGAACGGCTCAGTTCACGTGTAGCTTTCCAGCTGTCCTGCACAACCCTGATATGAGACTTCGTGAGGCTTTGGTGGCTTTTATTTCCCGTGTATTTTGCTGTGAACGGGACTAAGCGGCAGCCCTGAGCCCCGGGCTCGCTGGTGCTCGCAGAGGCGCGGTAGCCCAGTGGAGTGCTGACATCTAGTCGCAGCCGGCCGCGCTGCAGCAGGGAGGGAGCGGCGCATCCCTGGAGCTCCCCACCACCTTCCATCCTGTGCTCTGGGGTTCTGTGTGCAGCAACGAGCTGAAGTACGGTAGGATTGGGACTCAGCCCCGTTAATGATCTAAATTAATAAATGATACTGTGTTTCCAGGAGAAAGCCAACCGTGTCCTGGGCTGCATCCAAAGCAGTGTGGGCAGCAGATGGAGGCAGGGGATTCTCCCCCTCTGCTCCGCTCTGGTGAGACCCCACGTGCAGTGCTGCATCCAGCCCTGGCATCCCCAGCACAGGAAGGGCATGGACCTTTTGGAGCAAGTCCAGAGGAGGCCACCAAGTTGATTAAATAGATGGAGCACGTTTCTTATGAGGAAAGGCTGAGAGAATTTGGATTGCTCAGCCTGGCAAAGAGAAGGCTTTGGGGTGACCTAATTGCAGCTTTCCAGTGCCTGAAGGGAGCCAACAAGAAAGATGAAGAGGGACTATTTGCAAGGACCTGGAGTGACAGGACAAGGGAGAATGGCTTCAAACTGAATGAGTGTAGGTTTAGATTAGATATGAGGAAAAAATTCTTCCCTATGAGTGTGGTGAGGCACAGTTTCCCAGAGAAACTGTGGATGCTCCATCCCTGGAAATGTTCCAGGCCAGATTAAGTTGCTCTGAACAACCTGGTCTAGTGGAAGGTGTCCCTGCCAATGGCAGGAGGGTTGGAACTGGATGATCTTTAAGGTTCATCCAACCCAGGCCATTCTGATTGTGAGTCTATGAATTCTGTCAGCTGGGAAGCACCAAAGCCTCCTGTCCAAAGTTTGGAAAGATCATCTCCATAAGAAGTTTTGGGAGTAGTTCATTTAAAAACCCTTTAGACCTTCTCCTAATGTTTCTAGGATAGAAACAAAGTATCAGGATCCTGGATCTCAAATTCTGTGCCAATTGAAAGGGAGACTTTGACCCAGTTTACAATCTGTGTGTCAGAGATGCACTGAAGACAAGCTCCAGGAAGAATGGGAGGATGCAGCTGGTTTTGCATCTTCTGAGCCAACTGAGACATTCTGGGATAACTGGAAAGCCAAAGTGGTCCCCAACATACACTATAGCAAGTTGCCACTCCAACTTACTGTTGAACTGCGGTGCTGTCGAATAACTGAGGGCTGAATATTATGACATAAGGTCTGTCTGCTCCCAAAATGCCCCACAGCAAAGGCTGGGAGGATGGATCAAGCAGAGATGCACACTGTGGTTCTCCATTGCTCAAGCATGAGAATTCCCCTTGTGACTCCTCTGTAGCACTCCAGAGACACGAGGGGACTGTAGGAATGGCCAGGTTTTGCTGTGTTACTCAGGGCTCAGCTGCTGCCTCGTCACTTCCGCTGGTAACTGATTCCAAGTCAGAACCTGTTTTCTTCTGGATCCCAGGTTCTGTCATCATTATGAGTCAAGGAGGCAGCCAAACACTCTGCTCCACTATGCACGTGTCATCATGTGCATATGTGCAGACACATGTTCTGCATTCTCATAAGCCTTTCCAAATGTTTATCTGGAATTAGGAGAATTTGAACAAATAGTCATAGTTGTCAGCAGTGAGCCATAGAAACATAAGGGTCCCTAAGCTTCCCAAACAATGGAGCATGAACAAGTAAAGTCTTGGTAGAAGCTTAGCAAGATCTTGCAGATGCCAGCAGAAACACTGAAGTCAGCTTCCTGGCTGAAGTACTTGCTCCCAGAAGGAGGGAAAAAAATGTGCTTGTGAGTATTCATGAAATAAGAAGTCAAGAACTTGTGCCTGAAGATGATAACCAAAACTTTGTGTGTCTCTTGAACCCACAAGTCGAGGGTGGTCTGGAGTGTTGCTTCATCCTCCTATAGCAGGTGCAACATGAACACTTGCACAGTCCATTTGTGATTGATCTGCAGCTTTGTTTCAGAGCTGTGTCTTCCAAAGGCATAATGCTGCCAGGAGAGACAGGCATTCAACACCTAAGCCTACTTTGAATGGTGGTGATACTCAAAATGTGGTGAGACAGCATTTCAGTGACATATCTGAGGCTTACTTAGCATACAGAGAGTCCCACTGGATGACAGTTCCAAAACATGAGCAAGATTTAGGTAAAGAGTTTCCACTGAGCATGAATAAAATATAGGTGCCCAGTTCCTTTTGGTGCCTTCTGGAAAAAAAAAAAAGTAGCTATTAATTAAAACTACTAACAGTTTAAAGTTAGGCGTGCTTTTAAATTCTTTGCTATTCGATTTTCCAATAGAAATTTATGTATCTCATGTTTTTGAAATAAATCACTTTAAAATTCAAGCTCACTTTACCATTTACAAGTTACCTGGGTGCCTTGGAGCTTTCCTGTCCTCTACATCAGCCCTCCCAGGAGTGTGCTTGCTTCCATGCTTCTCCCTTTTAAATCAGCTCTGCATCTGCCCCTGTACTTCTCCCTTATTTAAGTCAAAGCTGCATCTGCTCCTGGTACTACTAGTGACCTTTGCCCTGGGTCAAGTGTTAGTGATTCATAGATTAAACATCTTTCCTTTAGAAGATAATGTATTCTTTTAATAAATCATTTCACACACACCCCCCTTTTTCCATATCCCCTCTGTTGATGAGCCTGTGAAAGAAGTTTGTAGCGACACTAGTATTTCTGCTATAAATCTCTCTTCGTGGAGGTTCATAACTCATCTTTGTTTTACATGCAGAGTTCCAGTTTGGGGGCACATTTGTTTTTATTCCCCTTTCAAATTGTTTTGAATTATTTTAAGTTATAAAATGGACAAAAATACAAATGTACAGTGTATAGATGTTTTCCTCTTCTATAATCAATCCAGATCTTTGAATAGAAATTATGATTAAAGAAGTGAATGTGTAGTGTTATTTCAGTAGTTTTCATATGCACAAAATAAATATTGATATTAAAACATATTTCTGAACCCTAATTCAATAGTTTTACTACAGTTTTATTACCTTCTCAAATGTGTGTGTGCATGAAAATGTTGTGGTGCTAGTGCCTACTGTTTGAAGCTCCTTTTTTTTTTAATAATTAAAAAAAGCCCTTCATGTAAAAGAAAGAGAAATACAGCGACTACATTGCTGTTTGGTAGGACTTTTCTGAAGTCTAAAAGCAGTTGGTATGAAGCTCATTCCATCCACCTATAGCCTAAGAAACTGGGCTCCATATGGTAAAATAAAATCTCCTGCATTATTCAACTGCAAGGAAGAACTTGTGAACCTAATATCCCAAATGACTCTTCTGGAGGTTTCTTCAGCCCTAACTGCATTTCTCATTCTCTCGATTTGCACCATTTCAGCAGACACTCGGCTGTTGACACTGTGCAGTCTTTTCAAATGATTATGTGTAAATTGCTGCAAATTATAGCAAGAAATTAGCTGTAACTCCCATGGTATATCCTTGTGTTTATTATGATTTTCTAATCCTCAGAAAAAGCATGCTGAGATGGCATTTCTGTGCTCCTAGGAGAAGGCTGTGAGCAGAAATAGCAAACTAATCTGTCTCCCCAGGTACTTATAGCGCATTCATCGCTGTGCTGTCTGAGCATGTAATACTGTCCCCTCAATCTTTTTAAGTGAAATGATGTCCTGTTAACTAAGTGTGAAGGAAGCTGATGCTACCATGACTAGTTATCCAGACCTGCCGCCAATCTTTAACCAAAGCAAAAAGAAATTTGCTTTTGAGCTCATTTTTTAATGATGGACCTTTGCAGTGCTCCGTGCTTTGAATTGCATTTGTCCATCTTCATTGCCATGGCTGGGTACAGAGCCCAGGTTCATCGAGGGAATTAAGCCTGGAGGCATCTTAGTAATGATGCTGATACCAGGGCCTGCTCAGGCCCTAAAATGCTCTTTCAGAAAGCTCAATTCTTTTAGACTCTTTCAAATAACCTCAATGCAAGGCATTTACTTATTTGGGCAGGCTGTTGTAGGCAATAAAGCAACGCTGAAATGCCCCAACTGGGAGATTGTCCCGTGCTGGGAATTCACCCATCCAAGCCAGGAGGAGTGTCCTGCCCCAACTCACTGAGCGTGGGGAGAAGCACTGAGCCAACACAAAACCCACTAGCCTCACAAAACAGCAGGAGTGGGACTGTGATAGTCTTTCATTAGGCAACAGTGAGGGTGATTGCATTTAATCCGTGAGGCATTCTAACAGTGAGCAAACTCCATACCAGCAGTTCAGGGTATGTAATTCTGAGTTTTCACAATAAAACCCCAGAATACCCATTCATCCTTAGCAGACTTGCCTTTGTATCAATTTGGGACTAGATTCTTGGCATGCCAGGGAATTATGCATCATAATGACTTAATCAAGGGCTTTTACAGTGTGTTCTAGAGCTGAGAAACCTTTTTAAACCCAAATGCAGATGGAAGCTTGGACCCAGCAGTGAGTGCTTTGCTCATGAAGTCAGAGGAGCTCTGCACAGACTGACCCCCTGTGCCTCTGCAAAGCTCTATTGATTTTGGTAACTTCATCTGTGCAGGGATGTGAATCTATCTACAGGGAGCTAAATGAAGCCTAAAGTTATCGATTTTCAAGAGCAAAGAACTTTAGTTAAAGATCTCTTGTGTTTTTTTAATTATTCCCGATTTTGAAACATGACATCACAGCAGAGTAATGATATTAAGAAGTGACAGTAAAAAAACCAGCCAGTTTCATGTGATTTAATGCAGTAAGGGCAGAGAGAATGGGATTGACTGAATTAGACAAGGTTTTTATTTGCTCTTTGTGCTGGATGACTGTTAATCACTCAATGAGAAATGTATTTCCAATGGACAGTGCTCAAGCAACGTAAATAATAGCAACATCCTTGTTTCTCCTTTGCCCTCAATCTCCTTTTGGAGGCTTGACAATAAACAGTCATTCCCAATCTCTTCTGTAACTCAGAATCCAGATCCAAAAAGCCCCCATCAAATGTAACTAATTTGCTTTACATCTCTCCTTTATACTCGTGAGCTAATAAATGGCTACTGCATTTCCAGAGGGAGTTCATTTTTTTGGCTGCCTACAGGGGATTGAGAGTTGTTGTCTCACTTGAGCACAACTCAATTGGTATCTGGATGTATTGGCAGGGACCAGTGTTTGCTACAAAAGGTGGCAAACCACAAAACATGGAGTCATTATAGCCAGTGTAAGACTTGGTGTTCCTTCAGCCTAGCAGACCCCTTCAAGTCACAGAATTTTGGCTTCCTCTACTATTGAATGGGCTTCTCCCAAAGATTTGCTGATTCTGCAAACACAACTTTAGCTTTCTAGTTATACCTACCTGTCCTTGAGAAAACTGTTTGTCTCTCTGTGACCCAGTTCCCCACTTCTAAACCAGAGGAAATTTGAGAATTACATTCAGGTCTCTGTCAGTTGCCTGTATTTAGCAGCTTTCCCAAGGAAGTGTGTTAGGGAAAGAGAGTTCTGTAGTGGTGCTTCAGCTGGGCTGGACCTTGCTGAGGTGTTTTAGCCCAGGCTATTGATGGTGACAATTCTGTAGCCACAAGCTAAATGGAGCTGAAGCAGGTAGGAGCTGACTCAAAGGCTCATCACTCCAGTCATTTGCCATCTGTGTGTGAGTCAGAGCCCTAATATTTGTTTTCCATCCTTTGTTGGAAGTCAGTGGAGCTGTTTATTTATGCATGCTGGGACCTTATTCTTGGCCAGGTCTAGGTGATAATTTTAATACATAGTCTAATGTAGAGGCTGCTTTTGGCTTTTATATGTATGTGTGTGCATACCTTTTGAATCCCATTTTTCTCCCACATGACACTGTAGATAGCAGCAAGATCCGCCTTAGAGATGCCAGAGATGTAGAACTCGTAATTCGTTGAACATGTGTTTTGGTTAAGTCACCAAAGATTGAGTGCTTGTGAGGCAATCTGAAAGGCAGTTTTATCAAGTTCATCTTTTAAAATCACTTTTCTTTCACAATATGGCTTGCAAGCTGTAAAATTATTCTATTAAACTGTGTTACCACACTCTGAGGCAATTTGTTTTCTTGTGCATCGATCTGTGATCCAAGGTACTTGCTCCTGAAAACATTCTTCCTTTTTAACCACTTAGATAGGACTTAATTTTGTATAAATTGGAAATTGGTGTAGAACAGCATTTCTTTTTTATTTT